TCTTATTTTCATGTTTTGTGAGCGCAGGGACGTTGTTCTTGTTAGACTTGTGACACCGAATTCTGGATTAAAGCAGTTGACTGGTTTGCCCGATATAGACACCTTCACAGTTAAATCATGGTATCTCGTAAACAACATGTGATTTTTTGAGTTTTGGCCTTTGTGAGCCACTGTTATGTTATGTTTGGCTAAAAGATTTGTTAATTGTTTGGATAAACCTTTTATATATGAAAGAGCTGTATAAGTAGTCTTTAAACTGTTTTGTTTATCTTTGAGGGTATACAAGGCAACTATCGAACACGGTGATTAATTTAATCTTGCCCAAGCGCTTTCGATCAATAGATCATCTTCAGGGGCATCTGAAATAAGCCAAGAAACGTTTTTTATAAACAGGAAAATTAATTCACTTGGATAAAAAACTCCAAGTTTATGGTTGAAAAAATTTTTTTATATGTGATAAACGTTTATAGACTTACTTCGTCAATTGTGGACTATCCAACATACTAGAATGTCATAAATGTAAAAACTGGACATAACAATACAAAATACACTACACTAAGACAAACAAACACTTTAAAATTTATATGGCGAAGCTACATATTGTGAAGAAGCCGGAGACAGAATGGGCTCCCGGTCTGACGGAAATGTAGAGATGACATGTGACAAATGACAGCTTATGAAGGGCAGTTATGTGATCTGCACCTTTCAAAATTCTATGACACTAAGTATTGACCAAAGGTCCAACTGACACCACTATAGGAAATCGACTGATGAAATATAAAATTATATAGTATATTTTTTATGTGGATTGAATAATTCCAATCTCACACTCAAACCTGTCTATAATAATTAGGATGTTGGTTTGAGAGCAATTGAAGTTGACATAAAGTATGAATGTGAGAAAAGACTAACAATATATTAGACAGTGGATGGTTGACTACAATAAAATGGTCCACCAAGCGCTATCAGTACTGTAAAAAAGAAAAATCTGAATATGCAGTTAAATTACTAAAAGTTAAAATCAAAATTGAAGACAAAATATATAAATGTGTTATAGTCCACGTAGTTCAGTTGAATCCACAGTCAATGGAAGAACTTTAAAATTAATATTGAAATATTCAGTGCATGAAGTCTAAACAGTCGAGCTGGGTCCTCTACGAGGTGAAGCTGTAATAAAGTTTTTAAATATAGGATTAAATTTAGTACAATTTAAATTAATTTGAGTATTAAGACAGTGAGAGTTTTCATTTGTTTCCCTTGTAATCTCCAAATCTTCCAATAAATCCAACTCAAGATAGTTTTTCTTTCTGCTAATGTCATGTAAGATAGATGAACCAGAATTGATGTTAAAATTGTGGTTGCTGGCTACTAAGTGTTGACCAAAACTTGAAGAATTTGGTCTTTTCAAATGTTCAGAGACTCTAGTGGATAACTTTCTGATGGTTCTACCTACATAAGATGCATCACAATCATCACATTTTAATTTGTAAATACCACTTTTATCAAGTGTATTCATCCTATCTTTGGTATTGATTAAGAAGGAACCTAAAGTGTTATGTGATTTAAAGGAAATTTTGATGTTATCAATTGTAGAAGAAAAAAGTTTAGATATTTTATTGGAAATGCTACTAATATAAGTGAAGGAGAAATATCTGATGTTATCTGAACCATTCGGTTGGGAAAACTGTGAAGAATATGCAAGCTTTTCTGCAATTTTTAGTTTAGCTCTATTTAGAAGTTTGTATATAATGTTGGGATCATAGCCATTATTGAAAGCAATCTGCTTAAGAGTATTAAGTTCTGTATTGAAATTATCATCAGAGAGAGGAAATTTAAGTAACCGATGAATGTAACTGTTGAAAGCAGCCATTTTATGCTGAGTAGGGTGGTTAGACGTTTCATGTATAACGTGATCTGTTTGGGTGGGTTTTCTATAAATGTTGTACTCTAAAGAATCTTTCTTACGGGAAATAGTCATATCCAAGAAGTTCAACTTATTGTCAGATTCTGGTTCCAGAGTAAAAGAGATGTTAGGATGGAGGTTATTAAGATCATCCAGAATCTGTAAAGCATCATCTTGGGTTCCCTGTATGAGAGCTATACAATCATCAACATATCTAGACCAAAAAACTATTTTGTTGTTGTTGTTGTTTTTGGTCTAGATATGTTGATGATTGTATAGCTCTCATACAGGGAACCCAAGATGATGCTTTACAGATTCTGGATGATCTTAATAACCTCCATCCTAACATCTCTTTTACTCTGGAACCAGAATCTGACAATAAGTTGAACTTCTTGGATATGACTATTTCCCGTAAGAAAGATTCTTTAGAGTACAACATTTATAGAAAACCCACCCAAACAGATCACGTTATACATGAAACGTCTAACCACCCTACTCAGCATAAAATGGCTGCTTTCAACAGTTACATTCATCGGTTACTTAAATTTCCTCTCTCTGATGATAATTTCAATACAGAACTTAATACTCTTAAGCAGATTGCTTTCAATAATGGCTATGATCCCAACATTATATACAAACTTCTAAATAGAGCTAAACTAAAAATTGCAGAAAAGCTTGCATATTCTTCACAGTTTTCCCAACCGAATGGTTCAGATAACATCAGATATTTCTCCTTCACTTATATTAGTAGCATTTCCAATAAAATATCTAAACTTTTTTCTTCTACAATTGATAACATCAAAATTTCCTTTAAATCACATAACACTTTAGGTTCCTTCTTAATCAATACCAAAGATAGGATGAATACACTTGATAAAAGTGGTATTTACAAATTAAAATGTGATGATTGTGATGCATCTTATGTAGGTAGAACCATCAGAAAGTTATCCACTAGAGTCTCTGAACATTTGAAAAGACCAAATTCTTCAAGTTTTGGTCAACACTTAGTAGCCAGCAACCACAATTTTAACATCAATTCTGGTTCATCTATCTTACATGACATTAGCAGAAAGAAAAACTATCTTGAGTTGGATTTATTGGAAGATTTGGAGATTACAAGGGAAACAAATGAAAACTCTCACTGTCTTAATACTCAAATTAATTTAAATTGTACTAAATTTAATCCTATATTTAAAAACTTTATTACAGCTTCACCTCGTAGAGGACCCAGCTCGACTGTTTAGACTTCATGCACTGAATATTTCAATATTAATTTTAAAGTTCTTCCATTGACTGTGGATTCAACTGAACTACGTGGACTATAACACATTTATATATTTTGTCTTCAATTTTGATTTTAACTTTTAGTAATTTAACTGCATATTCAGATTTTTCTTTTTTACAGTACTGATAGCGCTTGGTGGACCATTTTATTGTAGTCAACCATCCACTGTCTAATATATTGTTAGTCTTTTCTCACATTCATACTTTATGTCAACTTCAATTGCTCTCAAACCAACATCCTAATTATTATAGACAGGTTTGAGTGTGAGATTGGAATTATTCAATCCACATAAAAAATATACTATATAATTTTATATTTCATCAGTCGATTTCCTATAGTGGTGTCAGTTGGACCTTTGGTCAATACTTAGTGTCATAGAATTTTGAAAGGTGCAGATCACATAACTGCCCTTCATAAGCTGTCATTTGTCACATGTCATCTCTACATTTCCGTCAGACCGGGAGCCCATTCTGTCTCCGGCTTCTTCACAATATGTAGCTTCGCCATATAAATTTTAAAGTGTTTGTTTGTCTTAGTGTAGTGTATTTTGTATTGTTATGTCCAGTTTTTACATTTATGACATTCTAGTATGTTGGATAGTCCACAATTGACGAAGTAAGTCTATAAACGTTTATCACATATAAAAAAATTTTTTCAACCATAAACTTGGAGTTTTTTATCCAAGTGAATTAATTTTCCTGTTTATAAAAAACGTTTCTTGGCTTATTTCAGATGCCCCTGAAGATGATCTATTGATCGAAAGCGCTTGGGCAAGATTAAATTAATCACCGTGTTCGATAGTTGCCTTGTATACCCTCAAAGTTTAATTATTCGAACATTCAACCTTATATTGGTTGTTTTGTTTATTGCTATTTGTATTGTTGTAAAATTTATTAAGTCTTGATTTGAAAATAGTTTCGATTAGACGTTCGGGATATGCATTATTTAGAAGGGTTTTTGCGTTTTTTTATTGCAGTTAGTCCGTATTCTAGATCTGTTAGTTTTATAGAATTATCAGCAAGACAGAAGAAGTCTGTAATTATAATCGTATCAAGGATATCTTTAAGAACATAAAACTTATCATGATCGTGTGAATTTAAAGTTTTTTAGATTTTCATTTTTTGTTTATCCTAAATGTTATTTATCCATTATGGAGTTTTGTTTGTTTACTAAAAATGTCTTGATAGATTCATAGCCGAGAAGAAAATGACCCCGTATATTTCTTTATCGTATTTTCTTGTACTAATTATCCGTTAATTTTGTATTAGGGGTAGGATTGTGTATTTGTCTGATTAAAGAATATATTGCAACTGGCTGAGTGACTAATGTCTATGCCATTAATAAGAATTAGCTTTTATAAAACAAATATGGTATATGATCTTAACGTTTTTCCTATCTTTCTGTTAAAATTTGCATAAGGTGAATGGCCTATATTTATTTAAAACTTCCTTAACGTCTGGACATTGCGCATTGGAATTATATTTTCTTGAAATATTATTAGTGATCCTTTTTGCATGTATTCTCTGAGCTACTTTAACCGGTCTATAAAGAATTTCGCAAATTTCCTTTTATATTTAATTATGTTTTTGAATATTTATTTATTCATCTTTTTTCTTTCATATATTTTTTTAAAACAATAATTCAAGAATTTTTTTTCATTCATTTTTTCACCTTTTTTATTGTATCTATTCCTAACAAACCACGTATTTTATAATTATTTTTTTCAGACTTTGCTTTGTCCATCACATATTTGTTTTAATTTTAGTAATTAACATTTTTTTAGGGAATTATTTGTGTCTTTGTTATTTACAGATGCACTACGTGTTTATGGAAATCGACTGTCTGACTACGAAAAGACTGAGATAGAAAAATATTCAAAAATCTGGTACCTGGGACTAACTGCATGTAAGATACATGGAGAACATGGAGGTAGCCAAAATGGAGGATTTGACGATGATAGTGGAAGTTATAATAAAGTAAGTAAATTGATAAATGCAACATATGTAACCTTAAAATACACCTCTCTAATTTTCTTTTTCAAAGAAAGGATTCTGTCAGCTCTATTAAATAAGATACGAGCAAAGTTACAGAAAAATTGGCAGTATCCCTACATAAAAAATAAAGAGAAGTAGTATTTCTACCTTTAACTATATTCCATTGGGATAAAGTATAAAAAGAACTAAATATCATTAAAATTAAAAAGATGCCATTCATTGGCAAGTACAATGACAAATAGTGCATATGAAGCCATATTTATATATTTTTATAACATGTTCCTGCAAACATGTTAATCTTCTTATGTACCATGTACATGTCTGAAAGGACATGTACCATGTCCTTTCAGAACGTTGCTATCATAGCTATCTTACTTTTATTCACTGCCAACCTAAATAGCATGCTTGTATCAACACCATACCAATCTCGCAAGTTCTTTAACCATAAGGTTCTTGATCAATATAGAGTGCTTAACACGATCAAATGCCTTTTGGAAGTCAATAAAACAACAGTATATGTCTACAGATATATCACGACATCTTTGAGCAAGTTCGTTCATTCCAAACAGTGCCTCTCTCGTTCCAAACCCGTTACGGAAACCAAACTGAGTGTCATCCAGATATTCCTCGATAATGGTATTCAAAAACGAAGTTATAGACTCTAATACATTGCTATCATTTATAAGCTTATATATTTCAGTTGGAATTTTTGTCAGGACCAGTCGCTCTGCCATCTTTTCGTTTCGATATGAATCCTTTACGTCCAATACTTCTATTTGAAAATTCGCATTAAAAAATTTCCAACCCATCTGTAACTGTGAGGAAGCACTCCATCTTCTTGAAACCAAAAATTTTGTGGTAACTGGCCATTCTGTTGAAGTGCAGGTATATTTGGATATTAAGTAAATCTTAATGCTAGTCACCAGTTGAGTTTCCGTCTATGAAATGGGTCTATAAGCCTATTTTAGACAATTTTCATCCAGATAAATTAGTTTTTAGAATGGTGTTCTAACACGATCGCCATAACCGATCATTAATAATATTTTAATGCGGTATTTTTCTCTTATATGAACCATTTTTATTCTAATTATTACACTTTTTTATATGCTTAGATTTTTTAAAATTAGGTATTGTTCTCATTGATCTTAGTAACTAAATTTACCTATTCTTTAACTGTAAAGTGGTTTAGTTCTCGTCTTAACAATTTTTTTCTACCAAACTTAGAATGTATGAATTATGAATAAAAAGTTCTTTTAAAATCTGCAGAAATATACAGATTGTTCCATTTAAATTAATTTAGACTAGTAATAAAAAAAGGCATCAAATGCGTTATATATTATTGTACTTGCATGCAACGTTTGATGAATGGCGTCTTTTTTGTTTCAAAGTTATTTAGTTGGTTTCGCACCTTATCCCAACCCAATTGTTTGGATTCAGATAAATGATGATTCGGATGATATAATTTCGTAATATGAATTGAGGATTGTGTCCTTATATGGCTGTTTTTATTCTCATATCTATAATATTTAAGAAAAATGGTAATGCAACATAAATCAAATATTTAAGCCTTTTTTCTGATTCTTTCACATAAAAGAACATATTTTATAAGTATTGTTATATTTTATTAAGTTGGTGTAAAAGTGATTATCTATAGAGACGTAAGGAAGATATTATCTATGTTATAATCATTTTTGGATTTAATCTAAAACAACATTCTATTTCAGGTTTTGCACGATCACATCGGCTTCCGTTATGAAATTCTCGAAGTCATTGGTAAAGGCAGCTTCGGGCAAGTCATAAGGGCGCTGGATCACATGACTAACAAGCACGTCGCTATTAAAATAATACGGAACAAGAAGAGATTCCACCATCAAGCATTGGTAGAGGTCAGGATACTGGATCATCTTAGAAAAAAGGACAAAGAATGTAACCACAACGTTATCCACATGTTGGAGTATTTTTATTTTAGGAACCACTTGTGTATCAGCTTCGAATTGCTCAGGTAAGATTCGTTTATGTTGATAGATCTCGTGGTGATCTTAAGCGTTCCAAGCATTTATCATATATTTATTTTAAGCATACAATATAGCCTAAGATTCAGCCAGTTAGTGAAGTTTGTTCTTAATTGTTTAATTTTTTGTTTATATTTTATTTAAAAACTAAGAAGGGAGAGAAAAATTAAACCAAATTATTGTAATCATACATAATTTAACTACAAAAATTAATAACATCAAATTCTAAATAAAACAAATTAGAGAAAAACCAAGTAAGCCAAATTAACCAACAATTAATAAAAAAAAAACAAGAACTGAGAGAGGAACTGAAATATTTAAAAACACGTTAGAGCAATAGAAAAAGTTTATAAGCAAATAATATAGTAATATATGGTTTGTCAAATAGTCAAAGTTATTAAACTGCATATTTAAGTCAAGATAAAAGAAGTACGAAAACTTGCCTGGTAAAAAACCCTGGAAATAAAACTTACTGGTATAAATAAATAATCACGAAGAAAACTGGGAAAAAAAGAAAATAAGGAAAGATAAAAGAAGAAAAATAACACATCACCATCATCAGGCAGTCTGTAGTATTCACTGCAGAACATAACCCTCCCTCAGCCGTTTCCAGTGCTGCCGATATTGTGCAATATGAATCCAGTCTCTTGTGACTGTAGATCTCTACTTCTAGAGTCAAAGAAATTTGGTGATGAAACGAGGAAGCCACAGAAGGTTGGAGAAAACAAAGAGGCTAGACACATATATGACAGGTCTAAAAGAGAGAAAGATAAGAATATATACAAAGTGGCAAAGAGCCCGCTATAGCGGTCTAAGATCGTCTGCACAGCTGTATGAAGAGTTGGAAACACATGAGGGGATGAAAAGGTTATACAGCATTGATATAGCAAGGGACAAGTCATCAAATGACTTAACCGACGTGCCGCAGATTAAGAGTGCGAATGGAAGAGTATTAAGAACCGATGTTGAAATAAAGCAAATATGGTATGAGTATTTTATGAAGTTGTGAGATGAAGAAAACCAGAGGGGAAACAAAGGATGCAGGATCCCAAATGAGAATTGAATACCGGAGATAGCGAGAGATAAGGTTGTCAAGGCGATAAATAGGGCGAAGAATATTGAGACAGTAGGACCTAATGAAATACCGGTGGAGGTTTGGAAGGCTCTAGGAGAGTATGGGGTTGATATTTTGTGGCAAATGGTGAGTAGGTTATATGAGGAAAAAAGATGCCCAATGCATGGAGACAGAGTGCGATGGTATCCTTCTATAAATATAAAGGAAACATTCAAGACTGTAAGAGCTCTAGAAGAATAAAGTTAATGTTGTACACAATAAAAATTTGGGAGAGAACTGTAGAGCAAAGGTTAAGTAAAAAAACGTAGATAGGAGAAGAACAGTTTGGGTTTATGCCAGGAAGGAGAACAACGGACGCCTTGTTTGCATTGAGACAAGAGCTATGTAAATGTATGAGAGAGAGGGTTCCTGAGAAGTACGTAGGGCTCGTGAATGATATATATGAGAGAGATTACATCAAAGTTTTCCGGTGATGGTTGGTTTGAAGCAAAGCTCTTTACTGAGTCACTACCGTTTATTCTGATTATAGATGTATTGACAGAAAATGAGGGGGAGAGGAAATAGTGGTTGAGATTATAGAATGGCTTGGAGAAAAACTAGAACGAGTAGGAGAATGTAAATACCTTGGCCGATATTTAACGGAAAATGGGACACTAAATCGAGAAATGGTCCACAGGATAGGGGCTGGTTGGTTATACTGGAAGCGAATGAGTGGGGTACTTTGTGATCAACAAATCGGGGAAGGGCTGAAAGGAAAGATATACAAGAGTGTGATGAAGTATGGCCTGTCAAGAAGGTTCCGGAAAAGAAGATGGAGGTAACTGAAAAGAAAAGATTACAGTCGATGTCGGGTAAGCCTAAAAGGGACAGGATCAGAAATGACTTGCTTAGGGAAAGAGCAGTGGTGACTACAGTCTCAAAAAAATTCGAGAACAGGACTATAATGGTTTGGTCATGTTAGATGTAGGGATAAAAAATATTATAGGACGAAGGATATAGCTGTTAGAAGTTGATGGAAGGAGAGGTAGAGGAAAACCGAGGAGAAGATGGAAGTTCTATATGGCAGAGCAATAGGTGAAGAAAACCCGATTGACAGAAATGAGTGGTGACAAAGAGTAAGAAGTAGAGACCTCTGAAAAGGGAAAAGCTAAGGAAGAAGAAGAAGAAGAGGACATGTTTGATCTCTACGTTCTTTATGGTTATATTGCGGCTGGGGACTAATTTTGTCATATACTGTGTTTTTGTAAGGTTAATTTGTAAACTTACTTCTCCTAAGACAAAGTTTAATATACTTAAGAACTTTTAGGCTTATTTTAGATTACTTGATATCAAAATGATATCGTCACCTAATTGTGTGTGGTTTAATATTTCGCAATAGATCATTGATTTCTAGGATTGAATTCTAGGATTATACGATTATATTATATAGGCCTTTGACAAAGTACAACATGAACCACTAAGACAAGTTCTAATAAAGAAAAATATAGACAGCCGAGATATTCAAATTATATGCAATCTATATTGGAATCAAACAGCAAATGTCAAGGTTGAGGGCAGACTAACAGAAGAAATTCAAATCCGTCGAGGAGTCCGGCAGGGATGTATCTTATCGCCACTTTTATATAATCTGTATAGTGAAGCTATCTTTGAACAAGCACTGGAGGAAGAAGATCTTGGTCTGATAATAAATGGTGAGACGATTAACAATATAAGGTATGCTGACGATACAGTTCTCCTAACGGGAAAGCTAGTAGAACTACAACATCTCGTTCAAAGTCTCAATATATACTCTAACAGTTACGGCTTGAAAATTAATTTGAAAAAAACTAAATTTATGGTAATCACGAAATCAAAGAACATCAGAGCTAATCTTGTAATAGACAATACAACGATTGAACGTATGCCCTGTTATAAATATCTAGGTGCTTGGATCACAGACGATACTGATCAAACAAAAGAGATTAGATGTAGAATAGAAATCGCTAGATCAGTCTTTAATAGAATGCGCAAACTCTTTTGCAATCGTGATATCAATATAAAGTTACGAATACGAATGCTGCGGTGTTATGTCTTTTCTACCCTGTTATATGGAGTTGAGGCTTGGACACTAAAACAGTTGACCATAAAAAACATCGAAGCTTTCGAGATGTGGTGCTATAGGCGCATTCTCAGAATATCATGGATGGACCGCGTCACTAACACGCAAGTACTTCAAACTTTAGACAAAAGATGCGAAATTCTAAATGAGATAAAAACTAGAAATATAGAATACTTGGGGCACATTGTGAGAGGTGCACTTTTATATTATATGTTTTTAACAAGTGTTGTGTACCTATGGTCTATTCTACATTCAGCTGGGTTCAGCAGCAATTATTTTGTCTTGGACTTCCGAGTTAAGCGCTTTTTTGTAGTCTACAAATATAAGAACCAGTGGTTTGTTGAATTCTACTTTGTTGTCTATAACAGTTTTAATAACTAGTAAGTAATAATTTGTACCATAATCTAAACTAAATTGTTTGGGTAGGTAAAAATCTAATATTATAGCTAATCATTTAATTGCTACTTTTACTCTTTTAGCTCGATTTTAGCTACCAACTAAAAACTTATTCAATACACTCACATATTGGATTATTTCGTTTTGGTAATATGTAATCTATTTCATTTTTGGTGACACAGTCTGGACTTGCTAATGTCCAGTTTCTGTTTGGAGCCTTTTTGAAGAAGGTATTCCTTACATAAAGGTTATGTTCTAGTGCAAACTGTAGTCGTGCGTCTCTTTCATTTCTTGTACCTAAACGTCGGTTACCCATGGCCAATCTTTCTTCGTTTGGTTTTACTCCGATTTTCTCATTGAAGCCATCGATGACCATTGTATATTGAACTTTTTTATTACTGAGTTCGCTTGCAATTTTCTCGTAGAATATGCTACTTTTTCTTCATTAAGTGAACATCTTGGAGCATAGGCCTGAATTATTTTAAGAATACCTCGTGTTTAGTTTTATAATAAGAATGTTTGCTCTGAACTTTCTGATTTTTATAAACTTTGGTTTATAGCTAAGGATCGAACCATTACTCCACTAGACTTCTGACATTGAAGTAAACGCGCTTTTTTCACCTAGCCTGCTTGGCTATCACACCGACAGACAAAAAATATTAGCCGTAAATTAATATTCTGTACCAGAACATATCATATTCTCTACATCTTTAAGATTTATATTTTTAAAATATTCTTCTATAGTTGCACCTGCCCAAAAATAAAAATTTAACTGATGCAATTAGCTTCACAGAATAATTTCAAGTAATTGAACACCATTAAAACAACTTTTTATGGCACATATCGCGTTATGTCGTACTGCTACCGTGGAGTGGAAGAAGAAAGAAGTGGTCGCAATTTCTCTATGAACGACAGAGATTACGGTCAATTATATATATTTTAAGCGGAATTAAGAAAACAGTTTATAAAAATAGTAATTATTTCCCAAGAACTTTAAGAAGATTATCGCTAAGTGTATTGATGATATACCATGAAATTGTTAGAAGTAATAATAGTTTAATAAGGAAAAGTTTTAATACCAGTACTAGTTATTTTAGTTTCACCGTAATTAATCTGATTTAGAATGATTTCTAAACATAGCTAGAAACTATGTAATAAATAACCGACGCTATGGTATATTTCGGCGTTATTAAGGTAATTGTCAACATGCCTACAGTACAATCCAAAAATATGATAAACATCGTAATAGTCATAGCAGTAGCGTTTCAAAAAAATACTTCCAAGTTCTAAAGTACAGTAGTTGCGTTTTACTGGTGTGTTATTGCTGGATAATATATATGATTGGAACAGTAATGGAGTATTATCATATCGTTTTTGCTTATTTTTTTAAGCCCTATTCTCTATTCGGATTCTCGCCATTCATCTTTGTTGTTTGTAAGATGTTTTCACATTGGTCCTGCAGTTCTCATCATGTGTCGTTACATAGCTCTCTGATTTTTTCTGATGTTCAGTGAATGTCCAGGTTTGAGCTCCATATGTAACTAAATGTAGGATATAGGAATTAAACAATTTGGTTCGAAGTCTTTGAGGTATATTTTTATTTTTAAGTATCTGCCCATCCCATTTTTACACGTCTACTTATTTCGGTAGTTTGATTTTCTTTGCTTACCTTGACATTTTGATCCAGATATGTATATTCATCTACGTGTTATATCTCTGTCCCTTGGATGTTTATCATAGGTTTGTCATTTTTGTTTGACATTAGTTAATTTTGCTGAAATTTATTTTCAGTCCTTTTTAGGGATTCTGTGTATAGCTCCTCAATCGTCGTAATCAGTGCATTCCACGTGTCGGCTATTAGTACTGCATTATGTGCGTATCTAAGATGGTTCAAGTATCTTCCGTTAATAGGGATTCCCTTATTTTCCCAGTCTTTTGACTTAAAGATATCTTCTAGGGTAGCTGTAAATAATTTTGGAGATATTGTGTCTCCTTGTCTTACGCCTCAGTTGATCTTTACTGGTCTTGTTTCGATTCCATTACCCTACGTCACTATTATTTCAGCTTGTTCGTAAATATTATGTATTATTATTCTGTACCTGGAGTCGATCCGGTTGTTAACTAATACTTTTTCTATTGCCCACAGTTCTACGTCATCAAAAGCTTTTTCATAATCTATAAAAGCCAGACATAATGGGAGATTGTATTCGTTAGTCTTTTCTATTAGATTAGATTTTCTGTTAGATTTTCAAAGTATATAACTGGTCACAGGTGCTGTACCCTTTTCTAAATCAGGCTTGTTCTACTGTTTGATATCCGACAAATTTTATTTATTTAATACGAGTATCAACTTTCAGTATGACTACTACAAAAGTCACCTTTAATGGTCCACATTTCGCTAGTTTCTATTCGATTAAAAAGTAACAAATATGGGTTTAAATAAAGATAAATAATTTACCCAAACAGGATATGCATATTATCTTAGGAGATTTCAATGCAAAGATTTGGAAGGAAGCAGCGTACAAACCAACAATAGGTAATCTTCACGATGTCAGCAACGATAATGGAACAAGGTTAATAGACTTTGCAGTGTCCCACAACCTACTAATAAAATCGACAATGTTCGAACACAAGAAAATACACAAACAAACATGGGTCTCCAACGACGGCGTCACAAGAAATCATATCGATCATGTTCTAGTAGATGCCAGGAGGGGTAGTAACTGTCTAGACATAAGAAGCCTAAGAGGAGCTAATGGAGACACGGATCATTTTTTGGTAAAAGCAAAAATAAGGACAAGAATAGCGTCCAAAAAACACACAAGAATACACCAACACAATTATGGAATACCGTTCTACGTAATAAGGAGACAGAACAGAAATTTCAAAAGGTTATAAAAATCGCTCTAACAAAGACAGAAGACTATAACAACATAGACTCAGCTTGGAAAAATATCAAATTAGCTCTGACAAGCGTATCAGATGACATACTAGGACAAAAAGAAAACAACAAAAAAATGGTTCGATGATGATTGGCTGAACTCCATAACAGCAATATGGCTAAAAGGAACATGCTACAAAACCGCTCGCACAACAACAATGAAATGTATAGACAAAGAAGAACAGAGACAAGAAAACTAATGAAAAGGAAAAAGAGGGAGTATCGGGAATAAATAATCAGAGATATAAAAGAAAAAAGAAAGAACAAACAAGCAAGACAGTTCTTCAAAGGAGTTTCAGATATCAAGACCGGGTACCAAGCAAGAACAGGAAACTTCCTTTATTTTAAAATAACCCTGTACAACCGTAGAAAAAGCATAGTCTTCAAGTATTCAATTGAAACGTTTATTTTTAATTCGTATTACTTAATAAGATAAGGATAATTCCATAGGACTTTATAAGGACCACTATACAGACATGACATACAGATCGATGTAACCTTTGAGGCACATCTTACTGTTAATAAAGATTTTTGGTGAATTTGTCAAATACAACCTGTTCCTAAAGCCGTTTTAATAACCGTAATAAATTTAAATATTTTCTTAAAACAAATTTAATGTAAAACTTGTCAATCATCTGAAAAATCTCGCATAATGAACCACCTATGCAAGGTCTAGTACTTATAAATTTTTATTTGTTTCAGCCTTAATCTATACGAACTAATAAAAAAGAACAACTACCAGGGATTTAGTCTGAATTTAATCAGGAGGTTCGCCAACTCACTCCTTAAATGCCTCAGGTTGCTACAGAAGGAGAATATCATTCATTGCGATCTCAAACCGGTAAGTGTTTAAATATTTATGGCATTTGTCATTGTCGCGGATTGAAATTTTTTAATTAATTATCCTGTCCCACTGCCGAATTATACAGCACGGAATTCGGAAGTTGTCGTAGGATCTTTATTCACCAGGTAAAACTGAATTAACTTTATGTATTATTAATATTATTCAAAAACATGCACATATGAAAAATATTGGATTTTAAAATATTTTTTTTGACATATATTTTATAAGCCGTCAAAGAAAATATCTAGTCAATGTAATAGTAAACAAAAAACAGCAAATGCACAAAAACAAAAAAAGTAAAATAAAAAGAAAGGTTCACTCATTTCTTGTCCAGATGCATGTCAGGACATTTTTCAGAGTATAAACTAAAATTAGGCAACACCTAGGGAATATATTAAAGAATATGATAAAACAAAGGCTATATAGGCACTTATTTTACTTTATCGTGTCCGTACATGTCATTCATAAAATTTCGGCCCAGTTTCGGGCTACGTCGGTTACATCTTTATTGGAGAGCCATAAATCTTCGAGGGTACATTGATGAGGATAGTTTCTACATGTAAGAAGATGTTCCATGTTCTGTGTTTCTCCACAGTGGCAATTCACATCATATTGGTCTATTTTTCCCCATTTTGCCATGTTTGATTTTACTAGAGCGACCCCCGTTCTTATGCTATTCATAGTTTTCCACGTTTTAAAGTCTATGGAGTGGCCAGTCCATTGAATCTAGGAAAGAGTTAGAATACTCAGGCGGTTCATCGTGCAGTGTTCCAAGGAAGCTTTTCCTAGATTTTGGTCGCTTTCATGGTGTTCGAGCTTTGTGTACGGGCATGCTGCTCGTCCGCGATCTGTTTAATTTTCTCTATGTGCTCTGCAACGCCTCTGCGTGTTGAGGGTTCTACAAAATCCGCTGCTTTATATATATATATATATATATATATATATATATATATATATATATATATATATATTTGAGAGTTACGTTGGTTTCATGCATCCCATTACTATCCTACATGTCTCATTTAACGCAGTATCAACTTGTTTGGTGTGGGCAGATCTGCCCCAGACGGGGCACGCATATTGAGCAGTTGCGAAACACAGTGAGTGCCGTTGTTCTTCAGAAGTGCACCCCATTTAATTCCCCTTAGCTGTCTGAGTATGCTGTTCCTAGTTGTGACTTTCCCTCTCGTTTTTATTCAATGTCTATAGGTGAGGGACCTGTCCAGAGTTATATATAGGTTGGTCTGTGTGTTCTAATGTATTACCATTCTACCCAATTTGGAGTTTTCGCTTGGCTTCACGTTGCTTGAAGATTGGGTGCCATGGAAATATGCAGACAGTACGCTGTCATTGTTTTTAAGACAGTTTCGAGTTTCCCCTCCAATTCTTCAAAACTTTTTCCTTGAGCACATATTTCAAGATCGTCAGCATAGAGGAAGTGCTTGGTTTCGGTCGGCGTAGGTTGGTCGTTTGTGTATATATTGAAGAGCATTGATGCTAAAACATTTCCCTGTAGTAGGCCGTTTTTTAACTCTCCACCTACTTACTTTACCCTCCAGCATAACGAAAAAACGTCTGTTTTGCAATAAGGAATATACGACCTTACCCAGATGATGGTCGTTGAAAGTATCGTATAATTTGCGAAGCAATGTTTTGTGTCTTACTGTGTCATAGGCTGCTGTTAAATCTACAAAAGCAGCCATTGATATAAGTTTTTCTTTTTTTTTACTGATATTCAACGTGTCCTGTTAGTGCGAGAACTTGACCGGTGTAAGATTTGCCGGGTATTAATCCTTCTTGTTGTGGAATGAGGTGCTTGTCGACATTTTTTTTTCTATTCTGGCGAGTAAAGTTTCTCGTATAGTTTGAAAAACTGACACAATAGCGAAATATGTCTGTAACTACTGAGATTTTCTGGGTCCTTTCCTAGTTTTAACAATGCTATTACTTTAGATTTCCTCCATGATTTTGGAATTTCGCAGACTTTGCAGCACATGATATAAAGTTACAAGATCCAGTTTTTTGCTCCTTAGCCTAGATACAATACAGGCAGTAAATCCACAATATTAGCTAGGCTAGCTTAAAAAATTATTCAAAATTATATATGTTTGGGTTATTATGAAAAAGGCGATGGAATCTCTGTAAACGGAAGAATAATAAATCACATAAGATTCGCTGATGACACCGTTATAATGGCAGACACCCTGGAATCGCTACACGAATTGGTAAATATAATTAACGATTATTGCATTAGATATGGACTAAAAATAAATAAGAGAAAAACTAAATTTATGATTGTCTCAAAAACGCAACATAGAAATGAAAGATTAATGATAGAGCAAACCCAAATAGAAAAAGTAGAGATATACAAATCTGGGAACCTAGTTTGATGACAAAAATGACCAAAGCAGAGAAATCAAACTCCGAATTGAAACTGCAAGGCAAGCATTTGTGAAAATGAAAACAATGCTTACCAACAGAGACCTTCAGTTGCATCTCAGATTGAGGGCTCTAAGATGTTACATATTTTCTATCTTACTATACGGAATGGAAGTTGGACATTGAAGAAACAACACATAAAAAAATAGAAGCGTTCGAAATGTGGTGTTACAAAAGAATATTAAAAATTCAGTGGGTTCAAAGGATTACCAATGCTGAGGTACTACGACGTCTAAATAAGGAGTTAGAAATTATAAACAGCATAAAAAGAAAAAAACTAGAGTATTTGGGTCACATAACCAGAGGAGAAAAATATGAGCTGCTGAGAATTATTATGCAAGGAAGGATCCAAGGAAGAAGAACCATAGGAAGAAGACGCATCTCCTGGCTGAGGAACCTTAGAGAATGGTTTAACTGTAGTTCACTACAACTTTTCACAGCAGCAGCCAACAAAGTGGCCATAGCCGTTATAATATCCAACCTCCGATAGGAGATGGAACTTTAAGAAGAAGGAAAAGGTATGACATTAAAAGGTGCAACTGTATTTGCTGGAACCAATTTCAAATAGGGCTTACTGGTTAAATGTATACCGTGTATAAATGTTTATATCGATAATATAAAATGTATGAATTAAAATCATGTACAAATAAAATTTGAATTTCTCGTTAATATATACCTATCACACTTTTCCCCAACGACCTTTAAATTTTATGAAAATGTAGAAGAAATCGGTGAGCAGGTTGTTTTTATACAATATTCAAGGGTCCAAAACCTGTTAAAGAGGAAATTGTACTTGCTTGTATTCATAAGTAATGAGTATTTTTAGATTTTAACGAAATAAAGTTCTTTTTTATATAAATAACGTCATTAACTAGACCGTGCCGTGTATACGAAAAATATATACAAGCAGACCATAATAAGCTTATAAACTAAATATTATTCTTCAAGAAAATTTAATTTTTTACGTAGTATGTTCTGATTTTGATGTAAATAATATCCTCTGAGTATTTGTAGTACATGTTTCACAACCCTCTATGCCCATAAGAAAGGAAATACTAAAAGGAGTTTACCCAAGGAAACTAGAAACAGAGATAATGAATGCAACTGTTGTATTTGTTTGACTGCACGGGATAGTCAACAAATAAAAGTTTTAAAGCGTAAAGGGTACATACGAAAAATTAATACTCAAATTGGTTTTGGATTAAATAGTGTTTCTCAAATAAAAAAATACCAACTGTAAAAAAAGTTTATAAATTTTCTAATAATTCGTGAGGTTTGTCCTAAATGCTCTCAAATCAATGGAAAAGGTTTTAAATATAAAGGAAGATCATTCAGCTTTGTTGCTCAGAATGTGTTAAAAACAATCGATCGGCGACGACTACCAAAAAAAAACAGAAAGAGCAAATAGTATGAACTCCAATAAAAATTAAAACCCAAAGCTAAAATTTATTGAAAGTAATAAAACTGGATAATTGATATACTAAATATTGCAAAGGAAAAATTTTAATTTGATGTGATTTGTGTTGAAACAAAAGAAATGTTAAGCACTTTAGTAACGATTATTCCCTCGTCTAGTAGTGATAACAGCTTGCAAACGACGAGACATGAGACATCAGATTTTGGATCACATTCTATGGAAGATTGTTCCATTCCTGTACCAATATACATGTCATATGTCATATGTCATATGTCACGAAGTTCTCTTCAATTTTCGGGGACCGGTACATGCCGTAAACGTTTAGTGCGTAAACGTCTTGTCGTCGTATCTTAAATAAATCGTGTGATTTGAACTTTGTCAAGATACTCAGTAACTATCCGAGAAGTGTGGATCCGTGCATTAAAATGCACATATGTTATGTTGTCTCCAAGAATTACCATAAACACTAAAATATGGACTTCTAGGACCTGTGTAAAGAACATATCAGTAATTAATGTCCCATTCTCGATAATGTCTAACTCTGTGTGAGCGTCAAACTATATGCCTTCCTATGCCATAACTGATCCTCCACAAAATGGAAGTCGTTTGACAACATATGCTTGAGCATATCTCTCGCCTGGACGTCGCCACGCTCTTACAAGTTTGTCTGAGCCCGTAAGACATAATCTTGATTTATTGGAAAATGATACACGACTCCCATCTTGTATTGTCCAAGCCAGTGTTCTCCTGCAAAATTTAATCTGGCAATTCGCTGTTCATGAGAAAGTGGCGGTATAGTTACTCTAGTTCGGGAAGATAAACCAGTAGCATGAACACGCCTCCTAACTTCCATTCAATTCACTTACGTCTACATTTCTCACATCTTGCAGAATCTTTCGAGGGCAAACTGCTGTGACTTTTCGGTTTCTCAAAGCACTAGAAACGACAGTGCGGTCATCTCCAGCTGTTGTAATTCTGCGTCGACTTCAAACAGCTCTTTGGATAAGAAAACTGTTTTCTTCGTGTTTTCATCGTTATACGCGTTGCATACTAGCGACTTACACCAATGTTTCTCGTAGTTACTAGAAACAACAAAGCGGTCATCTCTAGCTTTTGTAGTTCTGCGTCGACCTGAAATAGG